TATCCTATTTCATTGTCTTGATGTTTAACAAACTTACTAAAAGTAATTTGCAAATAACCTTTTCTCTTTCAGAGGTGGAAAGGAATGCCTAGTTGTTAACAGAGTTAATTTTCAGTTGACTCTTAAGATAACAGGGCAGCTTTAGGAGCCTAATTAAACCACATATTTGCTCTAATTACTTTAGCCACAGACTGCTAGTTAACAAAAGCAGCTACCAGGCCTGTTCTGTGTGTAACAGGCAGGCTTTTTCACCGTTGTTTTCTTCAGCAGAGGGTTTGAGGAGAATAAAAGCTGAGAAGCAAAGCCATCATCTGCAGAAGGAGGCAACAGTCCTTAGCTCTGCTTAGTGGAAAAAGCATATTCATCATGCACGGCTTTATTTATGTTCAAACACAGAGAAATCAATCATTATCCCTAGCATCATTTTTGAGCATCAAGAATCCTACCACATTTTGATATACACAATTGGACATTAGCTCATAAAGAGTTAATAATTATAGGATAATTTGTACATTGGGTAAGAAAAATGGCTCTATTATGCTGGTAATTTCTTTTGCTTTATTCTCTTGAATAATGTCTCTTGAAACTGTTCATATTTGATGTAATAGTTTGATTTTTCAGCTAAGTAAATTCACATTTTAATTAGCAACTTTTATTTCAATGCAACTTAGAATTTGAATACTGGTAATCATGTGGATGAGGGAAGAGTGAACTTTTACTCTGGGGACAAGTCAGTCAAATGATTTCTTTTTTAGCATGATGCCTAGGAAATCCTTTTAAAAGCAAACCCCATTAAATACGGACTTTTTACAGGAAGGATAAAGATATCACAATGCTTTATCCATTCCCTTTGCTTTATAGATGTGAAATACTAGCTGCAATGGTTATGGAGTTTCCCTAAGCTAAACTAGTGAACAAAATATGAACTAATATAGACATTATTACTTCTTACCTATTACTTTAAAATGACGTGTATCAGACTAGGTACAGACTTGAAACTTAAAGGCATTAATGACTGGACATGTAAAGTAACTTTTGCTTTCTTGAGTCACAAGTCCAAAAAAAAAAAAAGTCAAAAAAAAAAAGCGTTAAGACACACCAACATACAGGCAAAGGGAAAGAGAGCATTAAGGTAAGTTCAGGCTAAGCACAAAGTCTTTACCTTTTGTCTCAACCATTGAGAAGCTTGTGCCAACCTTCTGCTTTATTTTGGCCTTAGAAACCTGACCTAAACTAAACAACTATTCCATATCATTAAGCTGTCCGGGAAGATGAAAGTTTAAGTATATGCCAGACGAGCTGGAGCACCTGCTGCATTTCAGTAACGGGGGTCTTTCCCAAAAGCTTCTGTGCCAGAAGAACTCTAGGACAGCAGAGCTTTGCTTGGCCTGTGGGAAGAAAATGATGCTCTTCCCGTCAGAAGTTCTCTCTGCTCACCAGGGTTCATGCTTCCAGATGCGCTTCTATTGTAAGAAACATACAAAGGAAACTCCCTGCACGAAACATCTCACTAGAGCTCTAATTCCACTCTGCTGGAGTCAAACAATATACCGTGGGCACAAAGTGATCAGCACAGTTAACTTTTCACTGCGGTTGGTCAAAAATTATTTCTACTCCTCTATTCTTAAATGCATTGGTTTCCCCTCACACCAGAAAATACCGCAGTCATATTGTTTCAGAATGTTATATAAAATTGATCTAGAATACATTCTAACAGTTAGTTAACATGAAAATCAAGGTGGCTTTTCCTTTCAAAACGCATCCAAGGTCAGATATATGATCTCTTAAAGAGATGGTTACAAGTGATAGCTCCCTGATAGCTTGCACTACAAAACACAGTGAGGAAAATTTAAATCTCTCTTTAAAATAGAAAGGACAACATAAGGGACTCAAGTTTGATGTGATTTTTTAAAATTACCAGCTGAGAAAAAAAAACCCTCGTAGCAAATATGACAAAATTTTTAAATCTTTATTTATGATGTTTATTATGATGTAAACAAATCAATACATAAAATATGAATTCAACAGATAAACCAAAGGCTTTTAAATGGCACTTTATAGAAGAAAATACATAGTGGGTAGACATGCACATAGTTTACCTTACTGTCAGACAAGAAGTAAAATTATAACTGTGGGATAGCATTTTGTTTATCAGTATCCTCTTTTAAAGCAAGAATATTTAATGACTACAGGTGATGCGACGGCAGGATAAAGTCATATAATATTTTTTAAAATAATGTATGAAATAGTCATAGTTTACCTCAGTAATTCTCATCTTCAGTTTGCAAAGGTAATGATTTCAATGTTTAAAGTCATAGATTCAAGAGATTAATGGAAGTACTATTTGCAATACTGAAAAATGATTAATTAGAGCTGAGAATATATTGTTTTATCACAACTGTGTGGGATATTATTCTACTATTTAAATGATGTGTAGGCTGATTCATAGAAATGTGGGATAGTATTGCTATATACTGCTGAGTTAAAAGAAGAAGATACCAAATTATAAATAAATATATATATATATACACACACATGTATATAACAAGTCTATATAGAAACTCTGTGTACATAGGTGGTGAAGCAACAAAGACTCTTGAATCTGTTCAGTATTTTCCAAATTTTATTAACAAGCACCTTAATATATTTGATATATTTTAAAATGTTATGTTACATTATTTTCAAACACCTTTCTTTTTTTTTACAATTCTATCAGAAGCAAAACCATGCATTTAGAACGTTATAAAATACCATAAACAGTTCAAGTTCATGTACCTGTGACTGTTTGAATTCTAAGTGCACTGAATCTTGCACGTATGTGACTAAGCAGTTGAAACCTGTGGGTAGCGACCTCAGTTCATTGGCATTCCTCCGGTTTCCAGCCCTTATTCATCCTGCCTCCAGCCCATTTCCAAAACCACAGCTGCTTCTAGCACCTGTGCATTCTCCAGATTTATAAACTGCTGGAAGCCAAAGACATGTTAATGATTGTTTCTAGTCTTTGTCCCCTACCCTGCCAACCTGAACATCACGAAGGAAGGCGCCATCTATTTTCATATATTTCTTCCGTTGCTAACAAAGAGAATTCTTAAAAGGAGATGGAGTCTATTTTTTAGTGATGTATTCCTGTTTAGTTTGCTGTTCGATTTATAAATATTAGCATTTGTAGTATCTACTGAAGGACAAGGATGAACTGACATTACATTCTTTGAAAGAAAACTATTTGTCCCACTATCCCTCTTTTCACATGCAGTCACTTCTTGGTACTTTAATAACATCTCAACTTGTCTCCATCCTTGAGTTTCTGAAATGAGAAAGAGACACCGCTGAGATAAGAAAAGAAAGGAAAGGAGAGGCGAGGAGGGGAGGGGAGGGAAAGGGAGGTAAGAAGAGAGGAGAGGAGTAGAGCAAAGAGACAGTTTTCAGAAGGTTGCACTTACACCTTACACTCCGGCATTTTCTCCAACAAAAAGGGAGGCAGTAGGTTCTTATTTTTGTGATGTCAATTTGTAAACTGAAATAAAGCAAAGACCTTCTTGAAGGATGTAAAATATATTCGAGGACATGTATTCAGCACAGTCCTTTGTTCTAGATAGGAGCTTTTCTTTTCGTAAAGTTTTCCAGTCTCCTTCAAGGAAAAAGAAAGTTAGGATTTGTTAATTCCTTAAAAGGCACCGTTCAAAGCCCTGCCCTCCAGAAAAAAACATCACGACAGCTCAACACTGTTTTTCGGTAAGAATCAAGTCCGGCTTTTTCCAACATGGCTGTATACTTCGCAGGCCCCCAAATTTGTACTTTCACAGTCGTCATCAATCAAATAGAAACACCATCCCCAGCGAACCCGTGTTTCGTGGACTAGAAATACACTCTGTGTACAGATTGCGTTGATTTTGACGGCATAACTGTTATTCCTGAGTCTTAAGAGTCGCTGGCTTTTGTCAGGATTGGAACGGGAGAGAAAGTCTGTGTAGCTTGGCGTGCAGCAGGTCTGAGAACCCAGGTCTTTAGCATGTTTTCAGAGATTATTGTCATTTTCTGCTAAGAAGCACAGCTCATAGTGAAAGGCGGGAGGGACTAGAGCAGACTGCAATTGGAACGGAAAATGTATGTGAGCTATAGGGAAGAAGGGGAGAGGTCTCCCGGCAGAGGGTCACCATTGCTCTGGGATTTGCAGGAGTTTATCACCACCATTAACAGCTATTTTCCGCGGGTTGTTTACCGCCTAAGCCTGAGACAACCAGGTAGAGAAGCCCACTCCGGGACCCCAGCCACGCCCCCTCATCCCTTACCACCACCACCACCACCACCACCACCACCACCACCACCACCACCCCCAGTTCCATTAATGAATTCAGGGCCACCCCCTTGCTGGACCCTCCCATTGGCTCATATCCGAACCAATCAGAGCCTCGTAAAGGTTTCACCTGGTCCCCCGCTTCCTAAATAAACAAACAAACCAACCCTCACTGTGTCAGCCCCATCACCTCTCACCACCTCTAGCCCCCTCAGGCTTATCGAGTGTGGGCTGTGGCGCCTCATCCTTGCCCGGTGTTGGGCTACTCTATTCTCCACCCCTTACATCCACCCCATGCCCCAGTCTTCTGGGACTCCGGTCTAGGCTTGGTGTGGCTAGAGAGCCCCGCCTCCTCCCGTCGGTTCTGCCTTGGACCAAAGGCGCTGAGGTTCATCTAAAGTGTCTCTGCCAATTTGAAAATGGCTCTGCATCCCTGGCCCCTGGTCCCCCGTCCCTTGCACACCTCTACTGGTGGCCGCTTGCGCCCCTCCATCTCTCAGGAAGCTGGATCTGGAGCGGGCTGCCGCGTGAGGCGACGGTCACGTGTTGTTTTGCCGCTGTGAGCCCAGTGGAGTGGGCGGGGACGCGGGCCTAGGCGGGAGGGGTCTGGGGCGGGCAGACAGCGGGGGACGGCCTCTTCCCCCCCAGCCCTCCCTTCCCTAGCCCCCCCTCTCCTCCGCTCACCTTAAAACCACCGCGCATCACCATGGCGAGTTGCTCCTTCGCTGGCAACCGAGCGCTAAGGAGACTGAGAGCTGCAGCAGCAGCAGCCTCCGCAGCTCTAGCAGCAGTGGCGACCACCCCGCTTCTTTCCTCGGGAACCCCGACCGCACTCATTGGGACCGGGCCGTCCTGTCCGGGAGCCATGTGGCTCCCCACGGCCACTGGCTCCCGGTCAGACTCTGAGTCCGAAGAGGAGGACCTCCCCGTCGGGGATGAAGTCTGCAAACGCGGCTACCTGAGGAAACAGAAGCATGGGCACAGACGTTACTTCGTGCTCAAACTCGAGACCGCAGACGCCCCGGCTCGGCTCGAATACTACGAAAATGCCAGGAAGTTCCGGCACAGTGTCCGCGCCGCGGCCGCTGCGGCAGCGGCTGCCGCCTCCGGTGCTGCGGTCCCCGCGCTCATCCCGCCGAGGCGAGTGATCATCCTGTACCAGTGCTTCTCCGTGAGCCAACGAGCTGATGCCAGGTACCGATACCTCATTGCCCTTTTCACCCAGGACGAGTACTTCGCGTTGGTGGCCGAGAACGAGTCGGAACAAGAAAGCTGGTACTTGCTCCTCAGCCGCCTCATCCTCGAGAGCAAGCGCCGCCGCCGCTGCAGCTTGCTAGGCGCGCAGCCGGACGGAGAGCCGGCGGCCCTGGCAGCAGCAGCGGCGGCGGAGCCACCCTTCTATAAAGATGTGTGGCAGGTAGTAATAAAACCCAGGGGGCTGGGGCACAGAAAAGAGCTGAGCGGCGTGTTCCGGCTGTGTCTTACCGACGAAGAGGTCGTGTTTGTAAGGCTCAATACCGAAGTGGCCAGTGTGGTGGTCCAGCTCCTGAGCATTCGTCGCTGTGGTCACTCAGAGCAGTACTTCTTCTTGGAAGTTGGCAGGTCCAATGTCATCGGTCCAGGGGAGCTGTGGATGCAGGTGGATGACAGTGTGGTAGCCCAAAATATGCATGAGTTGTTTTTGGAGAAGATGAGAGCCTTGTGCGCAGACGAATACAGAGCCCGATGCCGCAGCTACAGCATCAGCATCGGCGCCCACCTGTTAACCCTGCTGTCCACTAGGAGGCACCTGGGCATGCTCCCGCTAGAACCCTGCGGCTGGCTCCGAAGATACCGCTTGGAGCACCTTTGCCACCTCAGGGCTATCAGTGAGCGGGAAGAGATGCTCTTTAACAGGCGCATTAGACCCTCCCAGCCTCTACCTCCATCCAGGCTAGGAAGGGGGCACCTGCCCAGAGCCCACAGGTCCAGGAGAGCGGTTTCAGTACCACCCACCTTTTCCCACCGCTTAGCAACTAGCCCCTCGGTACGTGTCTCACACCGTGAAGAAGTCTCCTACGACAGAGCTCGTGAGCCCTCGGGCTCCAACTCTGGCAACTCTGAAGGAAAAGACAAGGACGCTGAGGAAGGGAACGAAGGTGATTATATGCCCATGAACAACTGGGGCTCAGGAAATGGCCGGGGGTCAGGAGGTGGCCAGGGCTCAAGCGGTCAAGGCTCCAGTAGTCAGAGTTCAGGAGGAAACCAGTATTCAGGCGGCAGGCAGGGATCTGGAGGTGGCCAGGGCTCAGGAGGCCAGGGTTCAGGAGGTCAAGGTTCAGGTCAGGGTGCTGCTGGAGGAAACCAGTATTCAGGAAATGGCCAGGGCACGGCAGGTGGCCATGGCTCAGGTGGAGGCCAGAGGCGTGGAGGTGGCCATGGCTCAAGTGGTGGCCAGGAACCTGGTGACGGTCATGGCTCAAGTGGTGGCAAGAACCCAGGAGGGGCCAAGGGCTCAGGAAGTGGGAAAAACTCCGATGATGGTGAACGCAGAAAATCTCTGAAGAAAAGATCGTACTTTGGTAAATTCACTCAAAGCAAGCAACAGCAAATGCTGCCACCGCCGCCACCGCCGCCTCCACCCCCATCAACTGGAGCAACTGGTGGGAAAGGGAAGTCTGGGGGAAGATTCCGACTTTATTTTTGTGCGGACAAGGGAGCCACAAAAGAACGCAAAGAAGTCAAAGAGGTGAGAGATATGGAGACCCTAGGAGGTGCAACTCGGGCGCCTTACAGAGCCAGAGCTTTTGATGAAGACGAGGATGACCCATATGTGCCAATGAGGCCAGGGGTGGCTGCTCCCCTTGCGTGTTCCAGTGACTATATGCTAATGGCTCCTCAAAATTCCTCCGCTTCAAAGATGCGCCACTCTAGGTCACCATTTGAAGACTCCAGAGGGTACATGATGATGTTTCCCAGAGTGAGCCCACCGCCACCTGCCCCACGTCCTCCAAAAGCACCGGATACTAATAAAGAGGATGACTCTAAGGACAATGACAGTGACAGTGACTACATGTTTATGGCTCCTGGAGCGGGTGCGATTCCTAAAAATCCCCCCAATCAGGGAGGCTCTTCCTCCAAAAGTTGGAGCTCTTACTTCTCTCTGCCAAGTTCTTTTCAGAGTTCTCCCTTGGGACAGAGCGATCATAGTGAGTACGTTCCGATGTTGCCTGGGAAATTCCTGGGGAGGGGTCTAGACAATAAAACCTCCTTTAGCCCTCGCACCAAAGATGTGGCTTCAGAGACTTGCACTGAAAGGTCATTCTCAAAACCTGGAGACAGGTGGTCACCTGCAAAGCCTTCAGATGACGAGTCCCCAGTGAACAAGGCTGAGGGACTTAACCGACCTTCTTTTATTGCAAAAGACAATGAAATCAAGACCAAACCAGTAAAGCCTTCTTTTATTGCAAAAGACAATGAAATCAAGACCAAACCAGTAAAGCCCACACAGGAGCAGAGGGGAGCTGATAGCTCTCATGACTATGTCAACATTGACTTCATTAAGAGAGAGCTCCGCGCACCAGCTCTCTCTGCTCAAGGACTGCCAGATTCCTGGGGCTTAATTATTGACCCCAGACGCAGAGGTATTTCTAGTTACTTGAATATTGAATTCGGGGTGCCCTTTCCAAATCCAGCAATCCGTTTCTCAGATCTTTTAAGAGTTCTACCTGGTGCCAGCGCCTTCTCTCTGGCCCGTACTAGGTGGCCCTTTTGTGCTTTCCCAGGCAATGCTACAGGTAGTATTGTGGAAGAGGGTGAATACATTGAATTCATTTTCAACCCAGTCATGAGACCAATCGTGCCTTTTGCTAACCGTGCCATTCGCTACGATGCTCTAACCGGCCAAATCTATGTAGTCGACCCATTTTCTGAGTGTTGTATGGACATTTCTCTCTCTCCTGGTCGGTATGCTGAGCCACCACCTGTAGCTAGGCTGCTGCTGCAGGAGGAAGTGCAGGAGAGAAGACGCCCACAAAGTCGTTCCCAAAGTTTATTCGCCAATATCCGAGCCGCGGTCTCTGCTTTCCCCACTGACTGCTTCGACAGAGATTTTCCCGTCGCTTCGGCCAGGGTTGCTGTTGTAACTGAGGAGCCCCTCTTGGCAGTGAGCCGGGCGTTAGCGGTGGTCTCTGCGCTCGCAGCGGCCCCCGGCTTTGGCGTGATCTTTGGCGGCTTCCAGAGCACTGCCAGATTTGACTCCGCCTCCTCTCGCTGGTTCCAACCTGTTGCTAATGCTCTGGGTGCCCAGGTTGTAAGAGGGGTCCAGGACATTGCAACAGGCTGGAATCATGGAGCAGGTAACCAAGCTGCCGGAGGTGAGGACCTGGCGGCCCGCGCAGCCGCTCCCCCATCTCCACCTCGCCAGCGAAGGGTGCTTAGACCCCCAGAAAGCGAGGATTCTGAGGACACCGAGGACGATGACGACGACATTTACGTGAGAATGGACTTTGCCAGACGTGACTACAAGAAGTGATCATTCTCCGAAAAGAGGTTGGTGACTTTATATTTTAAATCTCTGAAGTTAACAGAAGTTGCCTAATGAGTGAGTTGATGCGCTACTTGCTATGGTGTTAGCGATAAGTGAGGTGATAGTTCATTTACTAGTATTATTAGAGAGAGTAGAATTCAGTTTTCACTTTTCACATGGGACCTTTCTGGCCTTTGCGATTACATAAGCTTTGATCTAACCCATAAATTTAACTGACAGAGCCAATTTTTAAACAATGGATTTATTTCTCAGGAGCAGTTAAAACTTAAAGCCTCGCCACATGAGGTTGCTTTCCTCTTCTCTAAGTCCTTCAGAAACTGAGCTCCATCAACTAATTTTCAAGCCTACAGCTAAAGCTGCTTTTCTACAAGGGCCCAGTTCAAGTGCAGGGGTTCACTGAGAGCACGGAAAGTTTAGCAGGAACCAGACAACTAGGGACATGGTTACTTTCTAAAAAACAGTCATCATTTGCCCAGTTTGCTGGGATTTGCCCAAAAAGTTAACTCTCAGTTGTCAGCTGAATGGTGACAGGGTGCATACACAATCCCAAACCCCAGGCAATTAAAAGGCAGCATTTGCTCTGGAAAGTTTTGTGTTGTTCTGATTTTGTTGTTGCGCAGGCTGAATTGTGAGAAACTGGGAGTGTTCCTTTTCGCTGTCACTGGGAGGGAAAGGTCAGTCACTTTTGTTGGGCTTCATTTTCTTCTTTCACCCCCTCCCCCTTTCTAGAGAAGTTGTAGCTGCATCTTGATTGTGGATATGAATATTGTTTCAAACGTTTAAAAAATCATTTAAAACATTTAATTGAAGTGTCTTCTGGGAAATCAAGGAAAGCAAGATAACAAGACTGGAGGAAGAAGACAGCACTCCAGGGGCAGCCCACCCTGAGGGGAGGGGGTCAAGGCCTAATTTTGTGAGGGAAGGGAAGGATTGTAAGAGTGAACCTTCTCCAAGAGTTCACAGTATTGTCTTGAGAGGGTCTCGATCAACATCTGCAGAGGATGACCCTGTAGCCTGCCCTGCCTTCTCTCTTTAGAAGACTATGCTTCTTTCCCAGTGAAGGGATGGTTCCCAGCAGCTCTCATTCCAGTGCTCAGTTTCCTGCTTTACTTGTGCTCTGGAATGCTTTTGTGATTGGATCTTTGCCCACTGTGCTTGATCAGGCAGAACAAGTTGGGGACTGATCACAACAGCCACCTTACAAGCTCCCCATTTAGTGCAGGTGGAGCCCCCTGCCTCCTCTTTCTCTCCTTGCTATAGAAAACTTGCCATACAAAAACTCACATTTGCTGCACAGACACACCAAAAGAGTGATCATTAAAGCCACAAAGGGATGCTGTGGCTGGTAAAGGACTCAGTCCAAAAGTTCTCTAAATTGTGAGGCTCCTCCCAACACACACACACACACACACAGACACAGAGAGAGAGAACACCACTATTATAACTACATATTTAAAAGTCATAATTCCATTTCCAAGAACTGAAAATCAAACAATCTGCCTTTCAGGGACAAGTAAACAGAAAGTGCACCCCAAAATCACCCTCAAGCTTTTGCTGGAGCCTAAACCCTGAAAGTACGAGGTACAACTTGGATGTAAAACTCCACATCAAAAGAGATGATGCATCAGAGTCGCTGTTTGGGACCCTGTAATTCTCTGAAATTATGCCTACACTTTCTAATACTCTGATCTTTGTTCGCACATAAATTAAAAACAGTGAAATCATACTGTTCTTCAAATAAACTCTGATTGCTGAGGATTATTGAGATCCAGGGCCATTATATATTTTAATTACTGACTAATGGCTTTGTAGCTATTTTGGAGATTTAATATGCTTCAATTGTATTGTTTATTGAGGAAATTCCTGACTTTATTGAGGGACTACACCACTGAAGTTGTATCTCACAGACAGGCAAAGAGCTTACATTGAAAGAAGCAAATGAACATGGAAGCATTTGGGAACATGAACTCACTTTGCAAAATTTTACTTTGTCATTGGTTTAACACTGACGTGAAATTTCAAGCATTTAAACAAATGATTTAGTTTTTCAGAAAACTAGCTAATTTCTTGATGCTAAAGGGAGATTTGAGATGTAATTTTCTGCAATAGATCACATGAAGGGCCTTAGAGGATGTGTGATATTGAAGCAACCTACTGCAGAAAATGACTTTCGTTAGCATTTCAATGTGAATTGATAAAGCATTGTCTGTGGAATGTTCAAAACAGGCCAGATGACTCTGATTATGTTTTTTCTGTAACGCTATAGGAGAACTTTCACCTATTTCTGTTCTGTCTTTATTTTTTTATCTAGCATTTAAAAATGAAAACATCATATTAAGAAATAAATAGTAATGTGAACAAAAAACAAAGACATATCATTAGGAGTCACATAGCTCAATAAGTTAATCTCAGTTTAGAGAATGTGTTTAGAGCTGGAATAGAGAAGTGCTAGGTGTGCATTATTATGTAGTTATGATCACTCTTTTGGTTGTGACTGTTAACTACCAACTTAGAAATACAAAGCTAAGTTAAAATTCTGTGTTTCTTTTTCATTAGTCTTTACTTTCATTAAAAGTGTCACACATGATTATTCACAGGTGGTATCTCTGTATTGAAATGTGTTTATTATGTGAGATTATAATTTATTAAGACCAGTTTATCACTCAGTGCAAAAATAATGAATGTACCACTGTACTTATCTACAGTCAAACTTCATGTAAGTATTTTATAGGTGCTCATTCAAACCATTTAGAAAGAAACACCAAGAATATAACTTGAGTATGTATTTTTTTAATGAATGAAATGATTTTAAAGCAATCCCTTGATAATGAACGCTTCAGGTTTTGAACACATTAGCATTTAGAAGAGTGTCATTTCCCATGTGATTTAGTCCATCCCTAAACCCTTGTGTGCCTTTTTGCTTCTTTTAATGTTTTACCTGATATAAAATTGATAGGTTGAAGTGATTTGGGATGTAGATTTCTCTGGTATTTTTATTCAAGACATAGGAGAGTGAAATGGGCAGCTGTAGATGGCTGGAAATAATTGCTCAACCAAATTAGTTATGGCATGGTAGTACTTGGTATTAAAAGGCCAAAAACTAGTAATTAACTTTTGACAATTAGGTCCTGTTATCACCACATGGGAAGTCAAAGCTTTTTTTCATTGTCCTGCTGCCAAGTCCTGTTGCTATAAATTGTGGGTACTGAAAGCAAATCATTTTTTACTGTATTAGATTTATTGTAAATAACTAGAATATAATTTCCAAATACCAGAGATTTCCCCATTATAATTAATGGGTCACTTATTTTATGTAGCATACATCATTCCCCCAAATCTGGATATTTCTTTGGATTCGTGAGGTATTTGACCTAAACAATTAAGGAGGACCTCACTCAGTTAAAGTTAGCTAAAGTTGTTGGCAACCATTATTCACATGCATTCATTCTATTTTAAGACTGATGCTTCCAGGATAAAAATGTCAGCTACGAGAAAAACATCTCTTTGAAACCAGGGCCAGGACTTTAATTAAGCACACCAGATTGTTATACATTCATAAATACTCAACCAGGGTCTCCAGCTTTCTTTCCCTGTCTCTAATCGCCAAACTTGAACCAAAATACTTCAAATCATTGGCAGGCGTTTATCTTGGGGAACAAACTAAGGTTTCTAAAAAAAAATACACTTCATGTTGGAACAGATGCAGCTGGCCATTGCAGAAAGAAGTAAGGGTTACTGTGTGTGATTTCAAATGAACTGTTGTTAAATTGTTAACTTTTTGATTGAGGGAATGCTTTCCAGTTACAGATTGATTGCCTTATATTTTTCAAAGCACATTCACATTCATTATTTCAGTGATGGTAAGTACTGGAAGTGAAGCTGGAGTTAAGAATTTTCCTGTGTTCACGAAGGTAAGTGGCAGAGCTGAAAATGTAACGCATACATCTGTTTTCCAAACTAATGCTCCATCTAGCACATCACACTGCCCTTCAACCAAGTGCTTAATTTGTCACTTTTATATTGATGAAAGTTATTGTGTATGATAGCGATGGGAGCAAAAGCGTAAGTACGCTTTAATTCAATGGTAGCAAATTTCATTGCAATTCACTTAGAGTGTTACAACTGGAACATCTGTCAGGGCTCAGGTGATCTTCCTTCATTGAACTGTTTGCCATGGCCCTTCTAGAGAAAATGACCCTGACATTAGCTGGAATTCAATGTTTTAAATTTGATCTAGGGAAGAGTTAGTTACTCTGATTTCCCAAACACAAATTGTGTGTGTGTGTGTGCGCGTGTGTGTGTGTGTGTGTGTGTGTGTGTGTGTGTGTGTGTAGTATGAACAACAGAAAGGAAAGAAATTGAAATAGGAGTGTAGTCAATAAATTCCAGTCAATGGTTATTTCCTTAACTGAAGTTAGATTTCTAAGGTTCTGCTGATAATCTAATGGCATATATCAGCTATTGCTGGTCTCTTAGTTCATTATTTCTGCATAAATCTAGTATTTTAATATAAACTACCACACTGAACAAAACAGGATAAAATAAGACAGGTAGAGAAAAAGGTAAGGTAGAAGTGTATGGGTTTTTTATGTTTTTTTGTTTTCTTTTTGTTCTTTCTTTTTTATGTTTTTTTGGGGAGGTGTGCTTTGGGCAAGTAGATTTTAGAAGTCTTGAGAACCAAATCCTTCTCGTGGGGGCATTAAAAACTCCTTATTTAACATTAAATTCAATTTCTTTATCACCTTTTTTCAAGACTTTAAGACTGTGTGTAAATAGCCCAGATATTTTATTGGCAGTTATGGGATATGTCTTTTACGAAATACTTAATTAAAGTCCATAGTATGTTTGGTGTTAGAGGAGCTGTCGAGTTCTTAGACCAAGGGGATCATTTACTCAGAGAAAAAATGAGATTTAAACAATTACTTTTTAGAATAATGACTACATTATAATCAACTCGGGTTTTCTGTTTTTTTGGGGGGGTATGA